GATTTGTTGTTAGAAAATCTTAGCTCCCTCTACATAGTAAGAATTGTTACTTCTGGGATTTGTACTTGGTGAAGAAAACTTATACTTTTGCATGTTTATGGTTATCTACTTTAACCTCGATTCTGTTGGTAAGTCATTTTTATTTTTCTTTGCTTAGGTAGGGAATGAAGGGATAATTTCTGTTGGTCAGAACTGTAAATTTCTTGCAGACCTCATCATCCGAGATTGTGATGGGTAGGCAGTCCCCCCCCCCCCCCCCCCCCCCACCACAACATCCAAATCCTTTCATATTATCGTTGCTGACATGTTTCTTAGATCTGATGGGTGCTGTTTAATTACCAGGGTTGGGGAAGCTGGAATCATAGCTATTGCTAGAGGTTGCCCCCTACTCAATTACCTGGATGTAGGTGGTCTAAAGGTGCAATTTCTGCCTTTCTTTCTTGGGTATAGGTACTGTTTTAGAATACATTTGTAGCCGGAATTATTGAGTTTTACACTTTGTCATATGCATAACATGTTACTCTAAATGCCTCTTGATTGTTCAGTGTTCTGTCAGATTGAAACTTTGTGTGGGATGCAATGGAAATTCACAGTTTGTTACCAAGGTTACTCTTGTTTTAAGAAACCCAGAGGACCCAATAGAACTACACAGTCATGCACACTTGCGCACTCACCCAGATGTATATATTAACGAATTTATGTATTCTTTCTTGGTTTTAAACTATCATACAACATTGTGTTATATTGAGATGTAACAGAACATTGAAAGTTTTTATATTTAATGATTTATGTTCAGTAATTCACGTCAGCTGGCAAATTTATGCATGCCGAACTGATACAACTTTCCATTTTTACAGAACTTAGGGGATAAGGGAATCGTGGCACTGAGTGAAGGTTGTCCACTATTAAAGGATTTGGCGATATTAAAGTGTCCACAAATAACAGACATGGGTGTCAGCTATGTAGCTAGGAACTGCGTATCATTAGAAGCTTGCAATATGATTTATTGCCCTGGCATTTCAAAAGCTGGAGTTACGACATTGATAACAGGTTGTCAAAAGTTAAAGAAGCTATTGGTTGAGGAGGAGAAGGTTAGCCAAAGGACTAAACGTCGAGCTGCTTGTCTCCTAGTTGAAAGTTGGCATGGGGATCTATTTTTTCGAGATTTTTAGCTCAGATGAAAGAGAGTTACATTTTACCGTTGGTGAATCCATTTCTACTAGTTTAAGCTGAAGATTGCGCTTGAACGTCTGTAAAAGATTTTTCAAATATGGTTCCGTCTTATTTTAGTTAGTGTTGGGACTTGTTTTCTTTTCTATATATATATCAGTGTTCCATAAAATGTATTTGACTTTATTATTAATAAGCTTCACAAAATTTTATGGACTCTCTCATTTCTCTATTGTCTCCAGTTTATGACACATGATCAGCACGACTTTTTTTTCTTTATGAGATTATATAATACAACACTATACTTTTAATTCAACGTTTGTGAGCTGAATAATTGACATTTTCTAGTTATGATTATACAATATTTGTGAATTCCTCGAAGTATGTCCTTGTTTGAGCCCCATTTTGAGAGAGATGCATTTTTGAATAGTGATTTTTGGAGAACGAGTGGTTAAAAATTAAGAATTTTTTTTAATTTACGTTTAATATTATTTTATTGGAAAATGTGCAGTTCAAAATGAGTTTTGAAAAAATGGGGTTCAAACTATCATTTGTTGAACCTAAAATTCCAATGAAGTTTATTTTTATAAATATTTCAATTATATTTAAGAATGGATGTAAAGTATTTCTTTAAGTCCTCTAAATCATTTGATATAATTATTGCTTCTGAAGAAGCATAAATTGTTAAATATTATTTGAGGAATAACAACTTAAACGAAAATCAATGCTTTGAAATTTATTGATATATTTATGAGTGTTATATCATTGATCATAAAGTAAACTAATATTCTTGGAAACAAATTTGTTGCTTCTGGAGAAGCACCAAATTCTGACACTATAATTTATGTAACACAATATTGTTTCGTTGCTCATGAAAAGAGAATTTAATATGAATTAATAGTATGAGAATGACTTTATGCAAGTTAGAATTTTTGAAAAACATATATTAATGCTTTTAAAGAGGCATAACTTTATGAATAAACAAGACTTTAATATGATATTAATGTAAGAGAATATATCATATTGTGCTCCTCAAGAAGCATATATTAAACGGCTAAATAGTGAGTTGTTATTTTTTCATGAAAAATAACTTTATACTTAGAGAATATCGTTTAAAGATCAAGACCTATTTATTTTGCACATATGTATTGATGTATTACATTCATAAATGTGGAAACATTAGGTGCCGTTCTTTTTGCCATTTTCGGGTCATTTTCTGTTTTCGATTTTCCAAAACGGGGAAAACGCGTTCTCTTTACTATTTTCGAAAATGCGTTTTAAAAAACGAAAATTTTTTTTACACTGAAAACGCAAAACGGCTTTTCAGCCGTTTTGGCTATTTTCCAGCAAAATCAAGGCAAAATGTAAAACAC